GCCTAACGAGTTTATGTGGGTTTTCTGAGGTAAATATGACGATACATTGATTACGAGCTGTTTAACTGACGTCTTTCCACGGTTGAAACGCTGATTGAGCGAATCAATGTGACATGATACGGATTTCGATAAGTTGTACTCTATCTTTAACACACTTTCAGATGCTCATTCATGTTTATTTGGCGCTGTGACTGGTATTATGAAGCCGGAAGAGAGATCAGCGCTGCTGCTTCTCCAGAGCGATCTCACGCCACAGCAACAAAACGCTATTTATGTTTTTGAATTTCTAAAGAAAATGGACGTAATTTGAAAATTGAGACTTTGTTTCATATCAATAGTAACAAAGGACAAAGATTATTGCGATTTTTTTGGATGTGCGCAGCCGCGATACAATATCCCATTCATTCAAATGAAACAGGATGACTAATCGATTCTTGAGATTTAAGAATTTAAAAATGAGAATCGATTAATATCGAGAAATCGATATTTATTACCCAGCCCTAGTATTTATATATATACAGAGTAATTATATACAGAACACATATTTATGTAACACAAACTTTTCTTTTGGATGCGATTAATCGCAATTAATCGTTGCCCAGGAATGTGAAGCATGCATGTTGAGTATAACTCTTAAAACTGTACTGATTATAAACTGTGTGTGCAGGTTGTTTCGAGTGCTGCATTAAGTGTCTGGGAGGCGTGCCGTACGCGTCTCTGCTGGCCACCATCTTGTGTTTCTCCGGAGTGGCTCTGTTCTGCGGATGTGGACACGTCGCTCTCACGGGAACTCTCACTATCCTGGAGAACCACTTCTCCCGCATCACCGCCGACCACGCCATGCTGACCGACATGTGAGTCTGTGTGTGTGTGTGTGTGTATTACTCGTATTGTGTGTAAGCAATAAGGTACTCGATACTCACAATACAGCTCGAGTACCTTATTGCTTTTATAATCACGCAATATTAATACTAAAGGCGAAAAATGTGCATCAATGCAACTTTCATGAAGTGATATCACTAAAAGAATTCTTCCGCTGTGAAAAATAGTCCCTGACCATAAACAGCAGCAGAAGTCACTTACATTATTTCCCCATTAGATGGCGGCAGAGACACACTGCACCTTTAAGACAGGTTTTGCCGACATATAATGGCGAAATAATGTATGGGACTTATATAATATTTATATAAGTTTAGCGGCATCTACTGGTAAGGTTGTGAACTGCACCCAACTGAAGTTGCGGCGGTCTGAGACAGCAGAGAGTAGCCAATTACCACACAATATGAATTATTTAATTATTAAGTAAAACAATATGTTATTGTCACCTGTTCATCATTTCGCTGACTTTAATACGCTTCTTTGCACGAAGAACAACATAGTGACGTGACGAAACGCACTGTCCGCTCAGGGCCACTGTAGAAACATGTGGATGTAAGCAGACCCGCGGTGAGAAATGCTAATAAACACATAACGCTTCATCATGTAAGCTCTTTATACACCACTGAACACATAGTTATGTTTATGATATTGTATTTCTGTCAACAGATCCTCTAAATATTTCACACTGCACTTTTATTAAGTGAGTCTGTCAGTACAGAAGACTTTTATATTGAAAGGACTGAAACTTGTTGTGAGAAGCAAGACTCAACTAAATGATAAATGACTAGCTTGGCAAAACCCCCAGACCCTGTGTCCATTACAATGGACATCACATGTCAGCCGCCTTTTTTTAACTACTGGAGCATTTCACCTAGTTTAAAGCCTGCAGTCCATGAGATTGGACGTTTGTCATCCAATCAAATGCCAGTAAAGCTCTGCATGTAGTAATTATATATAAAAAAAACTCTACATTGAAGAGAAGCATGGCAGCACTCCACTCCAAACAGAGAAGCAAGCAACATTATGTAACAAGGTCTATTTACATTTTGTAATTATTTTTGCCAGTATTTCATAGTTTGTATGTAAAATAGAAAGATTAAACTTATTTTTAAAATTTTGAGTTTCTCTGATCTTCTTGAAACTCTGGATTCTGATAGAGGGCCATGGGACTTAGACCTGAGTGCAAAAATGTAGGCTGTAGACCTTTCCAGAGCTGAGATATTGAGATCCCAAAATTTTGACACAAAAAAAAACAAAAAAACGACAGGGGTAACACTGTCGTTTTTTTGGGGGGTCGAAATTTTGAGTTTCGATATCTCAGCTCTGAAAGGGTCTAGAGCCTCCATTGTTGCACTCAGGTCTAAGTCTCATGGCCCTCTATCAGAATCCAAAGTTTTGAGAAGATTGGAAAAACTTAATTTTCGCCCGAAAAAAAAAAAAACAAACGAAAGGGGTACCACTGTCGTTTTTTTTTTCGGTCGAATTTTTGAGTTTCGATATCTCAGCTCTGGAAGGGTCTAGAGCCTCCATTTTTGCACTCAGGTCTAAGTCGCATGGCCCTTTATCAGAATCCAGAGTTTTAAGAAGATTGGAGAAAATTAATTTTTCGCCCCCCAAAAAAAACGAAAGGGGTAACACTGTCGTTTTTTTTTTCGGGTCGAATTTTTGAGTTTCGATATCTCAGCTCTGGAAGGGTCTAGAGCCTCCATTTTTGCACTCAGGTCAAAGTCTCACAGCCCTCTATCATAATCCAGAGTTTTGAGGAGATTAGAGAACCTTAATTTTTCGCCCGAAAAAAAAACAAACGAAAGGGGTACCACTGTCGTTTTGTTTTTTTCGGGTCGAAATTTTGATTTTCGATATCTCAGCTCTGGAAGGGTCTAGAGCCTCCATTTTTGCACTCAGGTGTAAGTCTCAGTGCCCTCTATCAGAATCCAAAGTTTTGAGAAGATTGGAGAAACTTAATTTTCGCCCGAAAAAAAAAAAACGAAAGGGGTAACACTGTCGTTTTTTTTTTGGGTCGAATTTTTGAGTTTCGATATCTCAGCTCTGGAAGGGTCTACATCCTCCATTTTTGCACTCAGGTCTAAGTCTCATGGCCCTCTATCAGAAACCAAAGTTTTGAGAAGATTGGAGAAACTTAATTTTCGCCCGAAAAAAACAAACAAACGAAAGGGGTACCACTGTTTCTGTTTCTGATTCTGATAGAGGGCCATGAGACTTAGACCTGAGTGCAAAAATTGAGGCTCTAGATCCTTCCAGAGCTGAGATATTGAAACTCAAAAATTTGATCCGAAAAAAAACGACAGTGTTACCCCTTTCGTTTTTTTTTTCGTTTTCGGGCGAAAAATTAAGTTTCTCCAATCTTCTCAAAACTCTGGATTATGATAGAGGGCCGTGAGACTTTGACCTGAGTGCAAAAATGGAGGCTCTAGACCCTTCCAGAGCTGAGATATCAAAATTCAAAATTTCGACCCGAAAAAAAAAAACGACAGTGTTACCCCTTTCGTTTTTTTTCGTTTCCGGGCGAAAAATTAAGTTTCTCCAATCTTCTCAAAACTCTGGATTCTGATAGAGGGCTGTGAGACTTTGACCTGAGTGCAAAAATGGAGGCTCTAGACCCTTCCAGAGCTGAGATATCGAAATTCAAAATTTCGACCCGAAAAAAAAACGACAGTGTTACCCCTTTCGTTTTTTTTTCATTTTCGGGCAAAAATTAAGTTTCTCCAATCTTCTCAAAACTCTGGATTCTGATAGAGGGCCACGAGACTTTGACCTGAGTGCAAAAATGGAGGCTCTAGACCCTTCCAGAGCTGAGATATCGAAACTCAAAATTTCGACCCGAAAAAAAAACGACAGTGTTACCCCTTTCGTTTTTTTCCGTTTTCGGGCGAAAAATTAAGTTTCTCCAATCTTCTCAAAACTCTGGATTCTGATAGAGGGCCGTGAGACTTTGACCTGAGTGCAAAAATGGAGGCTCTAGACCCTTCCAGAGCTGAGATATCAAAATTCAAAATTTCGACCCGAAAAAAAAACGACAGTGTTACCCCTTTCGTTTTTTTTCGTTTTCGGGCGAAAAATTAAGTTTCTCCAATCTTCTCAAAACTCTGGATTATGATAGAGGGCTGTGAGACTTTGACCTGAGTGCAAAAATGGAGGCTCTAGACCCTTCCAGAGCTGAGATATCGAAATTCAAAATTTCGACCCGAAAAAAAAACGACAGTGTTACCCCTTTCGTTTTTTTTTTTTTCGGCGAAAAATTAAGTTTCTCCAATCTTCTCAAAACTCTGGATTCTGATAGAGGGCCACGAGACTTTGACCTGAGTGCAAAAATGGAGGCTCTAGACCCTTCCAGAGCTGAGATATCGAAATTCAAAATTTCGACCCGAAAAAAAAAACGACAGTGTTACCCCTTTCGTTTTTTTTTCATTTTTGGGCGAAAATTTAAGTTTCTCCAATCTTCTCAAAACTCTGGATTATGATAGAGGGCTGTGAGACTTTGACCTGAGTGCAAAAATGGAGGCTCTAGACCCTTCCAGAGCTGAGATATCGAAATTCAAAATTTCGACCCGAAAAAAAAACGACAGTGTTACCCCTTTCGTTTTTTTCATTTTCGGGCGAAAAATTAAGTTTCTCCAATCTTCTCAAAACTCTGGATTATGATAGAGGGCCATGAGACTTTGACCTGAGTGCAAAAATGGAGGCTCTAGACCCTTCCAGAGCTGAGATATCAAAATTTCGACCCGAAAAAAAAAACGACAGTGTTACCCCTTTCGTTTTTTTCATTTTCGGGCGAAAAATTAAGTTTCTCCAATCTTCTCAAAACTCTGGATTATGATAGAGGGCCATGAGACTTTGACCTGAGTGCAAAAATGGAGGCTCTAGACCCTTCCAGAGCTGAGATATCGAAATTCAAAATTTCGACCCGAAAAAAAAACGACAGTGTTACCCCTTTCGTTTTTTTTTTTTTTTGGGCGAAAAATTAAGTTTCTCCAATCTTCTCAAAACTCTGGATTATGATAGAGGGCTGTGAGACTTTGACCTGAGTGCAAAAATGGAGGCTCTAGACCCTTCCAGAGCTGAGATATCGAAATTCAAAATTTCGACCCGAAAAAAAAAACGACAGTGTTACCCCTTTCGTTTTTTTTTTTTGGGCGAAAAATTAAGTTTCTCCAATCTTCTCAAAACTCTGGATTATGATAGAGGGCTGTGAGACTTTGACCTGAGTGCAAAAATGGAGGCTCTAGACCCTTCCAGAGCTGAGATATCGAAATTCAAAATTTCGACCCGAAAAAAAAAACGACAGTGTTACCCCTTTCGTTTTTTTTTTTTGGGCGAAAAATTAAGTTTCTCCAATCTTCTCAAAACTCTGGATTATGATAGAGGGCCTGAGACTTTGACCTGAGTGCAAAAATGGAGGCTCTAGACCCTTCCAGAGCTGAGATATCGAAATTCAAAATTTCGACCCGAAAAAAAAACGACAGTGTTACCCCTTTCGTTTTTTTTTTTTTTGGGCGAAAAATTAAGTTTCTCCAATCTTCTCAAAACTCTGGATTCTGATAGAGGGCTGTGAGACTTTGACCTGAGTGCAAAAATGGAGGCTCTAGACCCTTCCAGAGCTGAGATATCGAAATTCAAAATTTCGACCCGAAAAAAAAACGACAGTGTTACCCCTTTCGTTTTTTTTTTTTGGGCGAAAAATTAAGTTTCTCCAATCTTCTCAAAACTCTGGATTATGATAGAGGGCTGTGAGACTTTGACCTGAGTGCAAAAATGGAGGCTCTAGACCCTTCCAGAGCTGAGATATCGAAATTCAAAATTTCGACCCGAAAAAAAAAACGACAGTGTTACCCCTTTCGTTTTTTTTCATTTTCGGGCGAAAAATTAAGTTTCTCCAATCTTCTCAAAACTCTGGATTATGATAGAGGGCTGTGAGACTTTGACCTGAGTGCAAAAATGGAGGCTCTAGACCCTTCCAGAGCTGAGATATCGAAATTCAAAATTTCGACCCGAAAAAAAAACGACAGTGTTACCCCTTTCGTTTTTTTTTTTTTGGGCGAAAAATTAAGTTTCTCCAATCTTCTCAAAACTCTGGATTATGATAGAGGGCCGTGAGACTTTGACCTGAGTGCAAAAATGGAGGCTCTAGACCCTTCCAGAGCTGAGATATCGAAATTCAAAATTTCGACCCGAAAAAAAAAACGACAGTGTTACCCCTTTCGTTTTTTTTCATTTTTGGGCGAAAAATTAAGTTTCTCCAATCTTCTCAAAACTCTGGATTATGATAGAGGGCTGTGAGACTTTGACCTGAGTGCAAAAATGGAGGCTCTAGACCCTTCCAGAGCTGAGATATCGAAATTCAAAATTTCGACCCGAAAAAAAAAACGACAGTGTTACCCCTTTCGTTTTTTTTCATTTTCGGGCGAAAAATTAAGTTTCTCCAATCTTCTCAAAACTCTGGATTATGATAGAGGGCTGTGAGACTTTGACCTGAGTGCAAAAATGGAGGCTCTAGACCCTTCCAGAGCTGAGATATCGAAATTCAAAATTTCGACCCGAAAAAAAAACGACAGTGTTACCCCTTTCGTTTTTTTTCATTTTGGGCGAAAAATTAAGTTTCTCCAATCTTCTCAAAACTCTGGATTATGATAGAGGGCTGTGAGACTTTGACCTGAGTGCAAAAATGGAGGCTCTAGACCCTTCCAGAGCTGAGATATCGAAATTCAAAATTTCGACCCGAAAAAAAAACGACAGTGTTACCCCTTTCGTTTTTTTCATTTTCGGCGAAAAATTAAGTTTCTCCAATCTTCTCAAAACTCTGGATTATGATAGAGGGCTGTGAGACTTTGACCTGAGTGCAAAAATGGAGGCTCTAGACCCTTCCAGAGCTGAGATATCGAAATTCAAAATTTCGACCCGAAAAAAAAACGACAGTGTTACCCCTTTCGTTTTTTTTTCATTTTCGGGCGAAAAATTAAGTTTCTCCAATCTTCTCAAAACTCTGGATTATGATAGAGGGCTGTGAGACTTTGACCTGAGTGCAAAAATGGAGGCTCTAGACCCTTCCAGAGCTGAGATATCGAAATTCAAAATTTCGACCCGAAAAAAAAAACGACAGTGTTACCCCTTTCGTTTTTTTCATTTTTCGGGCGAAAAATTAAGTTTCTCCAATCTTCTCAAAACTCTGGATTATGATAGAGGGCTGTGAGACTTTGACCTGAGTGCAAAAATGGAGGCTCTAGACCCTTCCAGAGCTGAGATATCGAAATTCAAAATTTCGACCCGAAAAAAAAAACGACAGTGTTACCCCTTTCGTTTTTTTTCATTTTCGGGCGAAAAATTAAGTTTCTCCAATCTTCTCAAAACTCTGGATTATGATAGAGGGCTGTGAGACTTTGACCTGAGTGCAAAAATGGAGGCTCTAGACCCTTCCAGAGCTGAGATATCGAAATTCAAAATTTCGACCCGAAAAAAAAACGACAGTGTTACCCCTTTCGTTTTTTTTTCATTTTTGGGCGAAAAATTAAGTTTCTCCAATCTTCTCAAAACTCTGGATTATGATAGAGGGCTGTGAGACTTTGACCTGAGTGCAAAAATGGAGGCTCTAGACCCTTCCAGAGCTGAGATATCGAAATTCAAAATTTCGACCCGAAAAAAAAAACGACAGTGTTACCCCTTTCGTTTTTTTTTCATTTTTGGCGAAAAATTAAGTTTCTCCAATCTTCTCAAAACTCTGGATTATGATAGAGGGCTGTGAGACTTTGACCTGAGTGCAAAAATGGAGGCTCTAGACCCTTCCAGAGCTGAGATATCGAAATTCAAAATTTCGACCCGAAAAAAAAAACGACAGTGTTACCCCTTTCGTTTTTTTCATTTTTGGGCGAAAAATTAAGTTTCTCCAATCTTCTCAAAACTCTGGATTATGATAGAGGGCTGTGAGACTTTGACCTGAGTGCAAAAATGGAGGCTCTAGACCCTTCCAGAGCTGAGATATCGAAATTCAAAATTTCGACCCGAAAAAAAAACGACAGTGTTACCCCTTTCGTTTTTTTCATTTTCGGGCGAAAAATTAAGTTTCTCCAATCTTCTCAAAACTCTGGATTATGATAGAGGGCTGTGAGACTTTGACCTGAGTGCAAAAATGGAGGCTCTAGACCCTTCCAGAGCTGAGATATCGAAATTCAAAATTTCGACCCGAAAAAAAAAACGACAGTGTTACCCCTTTCGTTTTTTTCATTTTGGGCGAAAAATTAAGTTTCTCCAATCTTCTCAAAACTCTGGATTATGATAGAGGGCTGTGAGACTTTGACCTGAGTGCAAAAATGGAGGCTCTAGACCCTTCCAGAGCTGAGATATCGAAATTCAAAATTTCGACCCGAAAAAAAAACGACAGTGTTACCCCTTTCGTTTTTTTCATTTTTGGGCGAAAAATTAAGTTTCTCCAATCTTCTCAAAACTCTGGATTATGATAGAGGGCTGTGAGACTTTGACCTGAGTGCAAAAATGGAGGCTCTAGACCCTTCCAGAGCTGAGATATCGAAACTCAAAATTTCGACCCGAAAAAAAAAACGACAGTGTTACCCCTTTCGTTTTTTTTCATTTTTGGGCGAAAAATTAAGTTTCTCCAATCTTCTCAAAACTCTGGATTATGATAGAGGGCTGTGAGACTTTGACCTGAGTGCAAAAATGGAGGCTCTAGACCCTTCCAGAGCTGAGATATCGAAATTCAAAATTTCGACCCGAAAAAAAAACGACAGTGTTACCCCTTTCGTTTTTTTTCGTTTTCGGGCGAAAAATTAAGTTTCTCCAATCTTCTCAAAACTCTGGATTATGATAGAGGGCTGTGAGACTTTGACCTGAGTGCAAAAATGGAGGCTCTAGACCCTTCCAGAGCTGAGATATCGAAATTCAAAATTTCGACCCGAAAAAAAAACGACAGTGTTACCCCTTTCGTTTTTTTTCATTTTTGGGCGAAAAATTAAGTTTCTCCAATCTTCTCAAAACTCTGGATTATGATAGAGGGCTGTGAGACTTTGACCTGAGTGCAAAAATGGAGGCTCTAGACCCTTCCAGAGCTGAGATATCGAAATTCAAAATTTCGACCCGAAAAAAAAACGACAGTGTTACCCCTTTCGTTTTTTTCATTTTTGGGCAAAAAATTAAGTTTCTCCAATCTTCTCAAAACTCTGGATTATGATAGAGGGCTGTGAGACTTTGACCTGAGTGCAAAAATGGAGGCTCTAGACCCTTCCAGAGCTGAGATATCGAAAACTCAAAATTTCGACCCGAAAAAAAACCGACAGTGTTACCCCTTATGTTTTTTTCATTTTTGGGCGAAAAATTAAGTTTCTCCAATCTTCTCAAAACTCTGGATTATGATAGAGGGCTGTGAGACTTTGACCTGAGTGCAAAAATGGAGGCTCTAGACCCTTCCAGAGCTGAGATATCGAAACTCAAAATTTCGACCCGAAAAAAAAA